CGTAAAGAGCAGGGTGCTGGGCTTAAGCCCAGTCACATCGATGACCGTATTAAACGTAAGTGGTAGAAACACTCCGATTAAAAAGCCGAGGTTGTCAGGTTGGATTAAAAAAAGCAAGACCCAACTACATGCTACCTGTAAGAAACACACTTTAAATATAAAGATATAAATAGGTTAAAAGTAAAAGGATGAAACAAGATAATACCACTGCCTACACTAATCAGAAGAAAGTTGGAGGAGCTCTATTCGTATCGGACAAGTGGGTTTCAGAGCAAGGACGTCAGGGATAGTGAAGGACATTTCAGAGTGGTAGCATTAGTTAATCAAGGAGCCATGAAAATCTTAAACATTCATGCACCTAATAATAAAATAGCGAAACACATGAAGGCAAAAATGGATGGAACGACAACAAGCAATAAATAATTGCAAATACAATCAGACATTTCAGTTCCCCTCTCAATCTGAAAGAGTGAGTAGGCAGTAAAGCAGCAAGGGCATGGTAAACCTGAACCGCAGTAAGTCCACCTGACTTCCATTAACACCACCCCAAAACAACAGAATGCACATTCTTTCAAGTGCACACAGAACATTCGCCAAGATTCAAAGGCCATGTTAACTATGTTGCCTGACCACAGTAACATTAAATTAGAAATCATTAACAGAAGGATTCTTAGAAACTCTCTAAGTACTTGGAAACAAAATAACACTTCAAGTAACCCATGGATCAAAGAAGAAACCAAAAGAGAAATCAGTGTTTTGAACCAGCTTGAAAATGGAAATGCAACATATCAAAATTTGTGGGTGCCACTGACACAAAACTTGGAGGAGGTGACTTATAACATTAAACATACATATGTATTAGGGAATAGATCCATATCTCAACTATAGTAATAGCATACAAGACGATTCATGTAAGAAGCTAGAGAGAAGAGCCAGGGAAGTCAGAAGTAAGCAGAAGAAAGGAAACAAGCATCAAAGTGGAAATCAATGAAATAGAAAATAGAAAGCAACAGAGAAGAAGTAGTGAAACCAAAGATAATTCTTTAACAAATCAATAATATTGATAAACCTCTAGCCAGACCGATCAGGAAAGAAAAAAAAAAAGACACAATTACCAGCATCAGGAGAGAGGTGGTTACTACTGACTCCACAGGTATGGAAAGGAAATATTTGAGCGACTTTATGCCAGTAAATTCAAAAACTTAGACGAAATGGACAAATTCTTTAAAAGACCCCAAATACCAACCAACTCTCACTTAAGAAGAAATACCTAACCTGACTAGCCCTATATCGATTAAAGAAATTGGAATTGTAGTTGAAAATCTTCACACAAAGATAACTTTAGGTCCGTGTACCTTCTCTGAGGAATTCTACCAAATATTTAAGGAAGAAATAATATCAATTCTACACAAACTTCCCCCCAAAACTGAAGACAGGACAATACATTTCCACTCATTCTATGAGACCAGCATTACCCTGATACCAAAAACAGGCAAAGACATTACAAGAAAAAAAATATATTGAAATACCACTACCCAAGAGAAAAGGAATCATATTCATGCAAAAACTTGCATGTGAATGTTCATAGCAACTTTATTTGCAACAGCTAAGAACAAAACTCAAATGCCCGTCAACAGGTGAATGGGTAAATCGCAGCACACCCATCCAACCGAGTACTGCCCAGCCACGACAAAGGAACTGTTGGTACATGCAGCGTTGGTGGGAATCTCGAAATGATGCTGAGTGAAAGAAGAGTGTGCCTGTATGATCCCTTATATCTGAACTCTAGACAATGCAAACTAATCCGTAGGGACAGAAAGCAAGCAGGTCAGGGGTCGCTTGCGGATGAGGCGGTAGTGGGGGAGGAGCGAGGCCTTACCAGGGCGCTCGAGGAGGAACTTCTGGGTGTGATGGGAATGTTCGCCGTCTTGATTGCGGTGGTGATAGTTTCACAGATGTCTACGTGAGGCAAAATTGTTACATTGCACACTAAACTTGTAGCATCGGCACGTCCGCTTCAATGTGGAACGGGTCACTTTTCTGCAAGTTTCTTTTAGGTCCTCTCGACATCTTGGCAGGGCAGGGCAGGGTTAGGCTCGAGGAGGTTGAGGTCCAGAGAGGTGAAGGCACTGTAGCTGGCCCAGGCAGACTGCCGGAAGTGAGCGTGGATCCCGCACCCCTGGGCGCAAGGCTGGGCTTTGTTCATTCCGCCAAGTACTTCCAAACGCACTCCCTGTGGGTCCCTTTCAGTCCCAGAAGAGGGCAGAGCCTGCATCCTCACTGCTCGCTCCCCCTCCCCCCCCACCTATTTTGCACTCAAGGAAACTGAGGCCCACAGAGGTTCCGACAGGTCTTACCAAGGGGCAGCACAGCTGGAGGTCTGCGGCTTGCCACAGGACACCCCTGTGGTCACCTGCTGGGAAGAGGCTTGCGCAGAAGTTCCGGCGAGTCCTGGGCTCCCAGGACGTCCGTGAGAGAGGGCGCATCAGGCAGAGTCAGCATCGCAGACCAAAGCCAGGCAGCCCAGCCCTCAGCCAGCCTCCTCCAGCTCCTAGACTCCGACCTTGGGCAGGTCACTTAACCTCTCCCTGTCTCAGTTTACTCATCTACAAGATGGCGTTGATAACAGCACCCACCTCCTTCAAGTGCAAAGAGAGTTAAAGGAATACAAAGTCATCTGAGCAGTACTTATCCCAGAGAAGGACAATGGAAGTACTTGTTCAGTAATGACTTCAGTCCTGCCTGGTCTCAGAGGCTTGGCTCCCGCCACTCCCACCCAGAGATGCTGGGGGGGAGGCCCTCCCGACAACTGACGAGCCCTGTGCCCCCCACACGGCAGGCACTTTCCAAACCTTATGTCACCCGCGCTCCATCCAGCAGGATGAAAGGAGGCTTGGTTTACCAGGTTCCAAGACGAGGGGACAGGCCTGGAGAGGACCAGGCCGCCAGCGGGTGGCATGGCCAGTCTGCCTCCGAGACAGGCTGGATCGGGGCTGGCCCGAGTGAGGCCCACCTGCCGCCTCCTTCCTTGGAGCTTGGGCTGGAGCCAGCCTGGCGGGTGCTCTGCCCACCAGGCTGCGTGAGTCACAGAAACCCCCTGATTCCCGGAGAGTCTCGGCCTCGTGGGTGGTGGGAGGCCCCAGTGTGAGCACCCCTCTGAGGGGCCGTGGATACCTGCCTGGCAACAAGGCCAGCCCTCTTCTCCTGAGCTGTTTCACACTCTGGCTCTGCTGCTGCTTCGAGCGTCTCCCGTCCAAGAGGCGGGGAGATTGAGACCAGCTGCCGCAGCCTGGATTCTCCCAGAGCTCGCCTGGCAACACCCGGCTCAGGTCCTCACACCGTCCTGGTGGGAGTCTCTCCGAGAGGTGACATTCAAGGTTGGTGGGTTGAACGGGGGCCAGTGGTGGGCAGGGAGCGAGGGGACTGCAGGACCGGAGGGCAGGAGGCAGCGTGGCACTTCTCCAGCAAGGAGTCACAGGCGATCAGGGCTGCCTGCGAGTGACAACAGGCTTATCAGCCTGCCAGGCCCAAGGCCAGCTTCCCCATTATCCCCTCTCCACTGGCCCCTTGCACCTCCTGCCCTGCTTTGCCTCTCAGGGGAGCCCCAGTCCCGTGTTCCTGGGTGGAGGCACAGGGAGATGCTTCTGTGGCTCCTGAGCCACTAGGCAAGGCGGACTGGGAGGGGCCAGACCCCAGAGAGGAAGGACAGACCCAAGGCCCTGGGACGCGAAGGCCTGGCCAGGTCTCACAGCAAGTCAGGAACAGATCTGGGCCCACAGGGTGCCCCTCACACCCTTCCCATCACCTCCGGGTCAGAGGTCCTGGGAACGTGCCAGCTGGTGGGGCCTGGCTTGAGACGGGGCAGGCGGCCTGCAAGGGGAGCTCCTTCTCCTCCTCCTCACCGCCTGCTGCCTTGTCCTGGGACCAACACCATCCCACCCTGACCCTCCGTGGCGTCTCCCTCTGTCCCAAGAGGCTGCTATCCACCCCGCTGGCCGGAGGATACACTGTGGTCCCTGCCAATGCAGTCCCCTGGTCAGAGCTGCTGGGCCGAGGTACACAGCCCAGGACCGCCGCCTTCTCCTTGGCCCATGGGGCCTCCCTCTGCCGCTGGATCCCTCCTCGTCCAGACCTGACCTCCTGGTTCTGCACAGGATGCTCCTCACTCCGGGGCTCAGTTTCCCCCAAGATGTCTCTAAATTCCTTTTCTGTCTCTGCCCTGCCCAGTATCCAGTTGGGCTGAGCTCCAGCGCTCCACGCAGGGCTGGGCGGGGGGAGGCCACACACTGAGCTTTTGGTCTGGAGCCTGGCAGGGAGGTACATGGCCCTCTGCTGGGAACGAGCCACCTCTTGGGGCAGCCGGAGGACGGCTGGGCCCAGAGTCCCCTGCTGCTGGCTGTGCCCACTCTACTCCATGCACACTCTCTTGGGGTCCCCACAGGGGAAGACTGTGTGCAAGGCCCCCCCAGGGCCTGGGAGGGACATACAGGCTGTCCATCTCTGGTCCGATGAGTCCCCTAGCCCCGAGGAGTTGCCCACTCGCCAAGTACAGGAGGTCTGGGGGCGGGAACGGGGTGCTGGGCAGTGTTGCGCTCTGGGGAGATGAGCCTGGCCTCCGGTTGGCAATGCCGTGTCCAGCCCAAGGGGCCCAAGTTGGGAGGTCAGCAGCCCGGGCCAAGGCATGAGCTTGCTTTGGGCCCCATTCCGAGTGCTGACCTTCACTGGGCTTCCAGCGTGCCCCTCCCCAGCCTGACCAGGCCCTGCCCAGATGTGAGGGCCAGGTCCCTGGAGGGCTCCTCTAACTCCCCAGTGCAGAGATGGACCTGCCCCCCACACCTTGGTCTCTGCCCAGGGAGCACCTGAAGGCAGGTCAGTGTGAGCTTGGTCCCTCCCTTTTGGACGGGCAGGGTCCGTGGGCACTCGGCTCCCCCTTCTCCCCTCCCACCCCCAGCAGCAGGGCCGGCCTGGTGCTCGGTGTCCACGATGCAGAAAGGCTGAGGCAGCGGGAGCAGCGCCCTTTATTGTGAGGTCTGTGCAGCCGGCGCTGGACCCTGCCTGCCGAGGAAAGGCTGAGACCCCCGACTGAGCAGACCCTCCAGCCTCTGATGAGCCCATTCTCCGTCCATCCCCTTAATCCCAGGCTGAGCATTGGATCTCTGGGGGCCTGGGGGGCCTCCAGGGTCCCCATTGCCCCCACCCCATGTGTTTGGGAGTACTGTCAATCAGGTAGCAGGAGCCAGGGCAGAGCTGCACCAGTCACCTGGTGCAGCAGGCCTGAAACTCAGACCCTGGCCCAGCAGCTGCAGAGCCCCAGGTGGAGGCCGCAGTGGTGGCCCCGGCTGCACTGCCCTCAGACTCCAGGTCCAAGCCCTCGTGGATGGTGGGGAGTGAGGTGCGCTGGCTCAGCCGCCGGCGCAGGCCGACCAGCAGGGGCTGGGGCAGGGAGGCCACGTCCTCGTTGTTGCCCAGGTCCACCCAGGCCAGCGCAGGGAACTTGGTGCTGTCCTTGACGGCCTCGGTGAGCTCGCGGGCCGCGGCCCGTGTCAGCCGGTTGCCGTTGAGCAGGAGCTGGGAGAGGCGGGGCAGCGCCCAGAGGCTGGGCAGCAGCAGGTGCAGTAGCTGGTCGCTCAGTCCCGTGAAGCTCAGGTCCAGCACAGTGAGCCCAGCGCCCTGGCCGCCCAGGTAGCGTTTTATGTGCTCCACATCTCGCATGGACAGCGGGATCCCTGAAAGGTTCACGGTCTCCCCTGCTGGCAGAGTCTTCTGGAGGCTGCTCTTGAGGCTGTGGGGAGGTTGCAAAGGAAGTGGGTTGCACAAGGGCCCGTGGCCCAGGCAGGCCCACTGGCCACAGACAGTGACCCACTGGGGCAGCCCAGTGGGGTGGGGAGGCCCAGGCCCTGCAGCCCAGCCAAGCTGGGACCAAGTTGCCACTCAGAGTGAGTGGCTGTGGGTGAAGCTCAGACCCTCTCTGCGCCTGTTTCCCTTTGGGGGGAGGGCACCTGGCTGTTGCGAGGATCGAACCCACGCCTGGTAAGGCTCCGTGCGCTGCTACAAAAACCTGTGTCCCTGCAGTGCCCCAACTGCCACCTTGGCTCACTTATTTTTATGCCAACCCAGTGGGGCAGGTGATTACTGCATTCCACACAGGAGCACATGGACCCTCAGAGAGGTGATGAGTCTCTCTCATATGTGCTCACACACCACCAAGCGGGGAGCCGGGTCTCCAGACCACGGTGCTCCCACTCCTGAGCCCACACGTTTTTTCCACATGCGTCCACTAAGGTCGATGCTTTGGGGGTCAGGACAGACATTCCTTAGGGAGAGATGAGGGTGACAGGGTATCGAGCTGGTCCCCCAGCCCTGGGGCTAGAGAGGGGACAGGCCCAGGGTAGTGAGGAAGGAGGGCTTTCTGTATTCTAAGCTGGAGAGGCAGTTTAGAGACTGGGGAGGGTCCCCGCTGACCTGGAACCCCCTTGCAGCCTCTCCTGTCACTGAGTGTGACCCACTATGCAGGCTGGCCTGACTAGGGGCGGAGGACAGTAGGACCACGCCCCGAGCCACGGGCCGACGCTGTGAGCTGCAGGCTCAGCATAAGCCGCCAGGCCCAACGGGAGGTGGGGGTCCCTGGGCCTCTGGGTCTCAGTGCCCGTGGTCAGTTCCTGAGCTGCGTGTGGCTGTGGGCTATGCTGGAGTCGGGGACAGGAGGGTCCCACGGCAGAGTGGACTGTCGGGCCAGCTGTGGACGCCTGAGCTTCAGGCAGCCCGGCACAGAATTCCCAAAGGGATGCAGGAAAATCAGGGCAGGGCGGCCTTGGGCCCGCCACTTGGCCCTCTCAGCCTCATTTCCCTTCCTAGTAACATGGGACTCATAACCCCGAGTCTGTCTCCCTCACAACCTGACACCTACAAAGGTCACCTTGGTCCAGGGGGGCCAGGCCCCGTGACAGGCCAGAGACAGAGGCCTCTGTGAGTGGATGGCAGGAGGCAGACACTGCAGCTTGGGGTGGTGGGTCTGCTGCCGTCAGCCCGGCTGGCCTCCAGGGCTGAGGCCATGATGCAGACGAGGGTGAGGGGCCCACAGGATGGGGTTTCAGGCACCAGCCTCTTTCTGGGAGAAGCCTGGGTACTCCCCTAGGGCTGGTCCCGCCTGTCCCCATCAGCCTGGGAAGGGACCCTACGTGGTGTGACGCAGGGCTGTGGCTGGACTCCCTTACCAGCTCTGGGTCTTCTTCTGGGGCAGGCTGGACTCTCTCTGCCACTTGGAGTGAGGGGTGAGGTGGTAGATGAGCTGCCGGCAAATTTTGTCCGAGGACTTCCAGAGCTCGTGGTCCTGTCAGGAGACAGTGCTGTCAGGCGGAGGTCGAGCCCCCCGCCCACCCTCTGGGCCCTGGGGGCCCAAGTGTGCAGTAGAGCAGTCATTCATCATGGACCACTGAGCTGCCCACCGGTCTCCCCTGCCCACCCCCCACCTGGCCACGGCCTGGCTCAGAGCCAGGAGAGGCTGCCCGCTGGGAGCTGGACAGGCGGGTCTGAGGCCCACAGTGCCCAGCGGGAGGAAGCCCAGACAATGGGCCCTTGTTCCCCGTCCTCAGGCCCAGGGCCAGCGTCTCAGGCTATCGGCCGGCTCTCTGCCCACCCTCGGCGCTCCCCCGGGACTTGCCACAGGGGAGGCAGGACCCGGCCCCCCAGGGAGCCTCGGCCCCCCTGACGCCACCCCAGAGCATAGGAGCCAGTCAGGTCAGCACGCTCTTCTTCCTCTCACTCCCCAACCCGGACTTCGCCCGTGGGCCCTGGGTCTGCGCCGCCAGGGCTGGGGGGTGAGCGTGTTGCAGCACCGGCACCTGGCTCTCTCCTGGTCCTCAGTAGGCCCGTGTGCAGGCCTCGTTTGGGCAGAAAGCAGGGGTTCCCTGCTTCCCACAGGCTGGCACTGAGCACGCTCCGCTACCCATATGTCCTGTATCCAGCCCCCGTTCACAGCTCGCACACTGTGGCAGCAGGCCCCAGCGGTCACTGTGAAGGCTCTAGGCCACGTCAGATCCTTGGTGACAGCTGCTCATAGGTGTGGGGGTTCCAGAACCGACAGGGCCTGTAGCGGGCACCCTGGTTTCACACGGGCTCACTGTGGTGAAGGGGTGGGGGCTGGGAGCTGGCCGCAGGCTGTGTCAGGAGCACAGCACCTGCTGTGCTCACAGGAGGGTGTCTGCAGGTGCTGCCAGAGTGGGGTCCCGGGCAGATGGGATACAAGGGGGGAGGAGGGGGGAGGCTGCTGGAGGCAGATGCTGCTCCATACGAGGAGGGACTTGTTTGTGGGAAGCAGTGAGTACTTGTCCCTGAGGGTATCCCTACAAAATGGGGACGTGTGGATGGGGGAGGGCAGCTCTCTCCTGGCCCAGGGACTGAGGCTGGGAGTCTGGGTCCACCAGTGCATTTGTCAGAACATTCTGTGTCCCCATACAACTTCCTGCCTGGGTCTCAGGGCCTGGCGCACAGTGCTGTCACTCAGGAAACGGTCTGCCCAGCACAGCTCACACTTGCCCTAGTTGCTGGCCAGCCTAATACACCGAAACTGGTAGCAGGTCCCAGAGAGGGGCAGTGACCCACCTAAGGCCTTAAAGCAAGCCAAGTGGGGACCCAAGCTCTTCACCCCCAGCCCTGGGCTCTCATGACCCCTGTCCACCAAACTGCCCAGCCTGAGGTCCTTGCCTACTAGCCTCACCGTCTTGGGGCACTGCAGGTCCCGGGCCAAGTTCACAAGCAGGTCATGGGAGATGGGGTCCACCAGGTTGAGGAAGGCCACATTCCTGTAGAGGATGTCAGTGAGGAGGGTCCCCTCAAGGCCCAGGTCCTGTGGGTGGTGAAGAGTTGAGTGAACCAAGAGCCAGGTCTGCCTTCTCCAGACCTCCTCCCAGCCAGCCAGAGCCCCTCATGTCCATTCCCCCTCTCCCTCTCTCTGCCTACGTTTGCTGGAGTCTCCCCCAGGTGACAGTGGACCGATTGTCCAAGGGCAAGTGGGTCTTTTTGGTGGGGAGAGAGTCCGTGCAGCAGGGGCCTCAGGGAGGTGGTAAGCAGTTCCCAGAGCCTTAGACTGCTTCCCTGGAGCTGAAACACCATGCGGTGCCACCTTGCCCTTTCTGGAGATGGGTTTGTGTGGGGGATTCTTTGGGGGTTCCTCTGATGACCCTCAAAGGCCACTGTCCTCCTGTATTCCATTTGGGCCCTTTGCCTCTTCCACCTATTTCCAAGTGCACCCCAACCCCCACCCCCACCCCAGCTCCTGCCATGATGGGTTTGCCCACAGGTCCAGGCCCTTCCTGTGGGGGTGGGCCTCTCCCTCAGCTCAGACTGGGTGTGTTCCTCTCCTGCCCTGAGGCTGGCCCCACCTGTGTCCCTGATCAGTAAGAGGTGTCACCATCCCCATCCTCCCAGGGGCCAGGAATCTGTCTCCGCCCAGCTCTTCCTTCCCTCTGCTCAGGGAGGGTCACACCTCATCCAACAGCCTGCTCCTGGGGTGCGGGCCGACCGGCCCCCTCCCAGTTCCACCCTAAGGCTGCCTGAGGGGTTCTATGACACACCTGCACAGTCTGCAGTCTTAGGACTCTCTGAAGCCTGGCATCTGCCCTCCCTGGCCCACGAGCCTCCTTGTCCAGCCTCCAAAGCTCTCATCCCTTGCAGAGACCCCACTGCCAGAGCCCCTGGCCTTCTTGCTTTTAGTCCTTGACTCCCTGTTGCTCACACAGTTCCTGTGTGTCATTAAACCACCTTTCAGAGGGTCCTGTTAGAGGATATACTGGCAAGCTGATGGGGCAGGCACTGCCAGAAGGGGCCTTCAGAACCCACGTGGGCTCCCCCAACCCAAGCCAGAGGGTGACACGTTCGAGGCATAAGCCCCACTTCGCACAGGAAGACAGGCCAGGAAAGAATGCCCAAAGGCCATGATCGCAGAGTCCCTGGGGGTCATGGGGCAGGACCAGCCTCTCAATGGGCCTGGAACCCCAACCTCTGGGACATAATGGTGCAACCTAGCTGGTTTCCCAGCTACAATGCCCAGCCGGTGCCTTGGGCTCCAGATGCCATCCCAGATAGAGATCTGTGCCTCTGGGTAGTCGGCTGATTCACTGCTGCTCTGCTGTTTGCATTTTAAACCCCATTCGGGTTCATGTCACAGATGCCAGCTAGGGAGGATCCAAAAGGGAGGGGTGGCTGGTGAGCCCAGGCTGACCTAGACAGGGCCCCAGACCACAGCCTGCTTTCTGCTGGTCTGGACAGCTCCTCTTAAAGGGCCAGCCCCACCTTTCCAGCCTGCTGAGCCCAGAGAGGAGTGCAGCAGCAGAAGCAGGGCTGGGAGAATGGAGGTTGGGCTGTGGCCTTGGCTGGTCCCCAAACTGCTCTGTGGTCCTCGGCTCACCACTTTTCTGCAAGCCTCACTTCCCATCTCTAATCATCCACCTGCAGGCCAAAGATATGCTCGGCTGATGTCAGCTCACAGGATGAGGTAGGGGGTAGGGGTGTGTGCAGAGAGGCAAGTGGCCTGCCTAGTGGTGATGCTGGGACCAGGACCCAGGGGTACAGCAACCCAGCGCTTGGGATCTGGGACTCAGGCACCTGGTGTGTGTGGGACCAGAGCCCTGGCCTGTCCAGATGTGGTGTGATGTGCAGATGCCAGGGGTGTGTACTCAGTGGGAGTGAGCACTCAACGGGTGTGAGTTGCCCCTCAGGGTCGAGTGCTTCCCCTCACCCTGGAGGAAGGGAGAGCAGAGGGCTTCCCACTGCCCATCAGTACAAGATGCCCACACTTGCCACTCTTCCCAGCAACCACGCCTTTCCTGCCAAGGCCTGAACCCGGGCTCTTACCTCCCAGCTTGGAGCATCCTCCACCCACAACTGACCTCAAACCCTGGAGGCACAACCTCGAAGCTGCCCTCCCCTCCACACTCACAGTTCTCCCGGCTTCAGTGGCCTTCTCTCGAGCCTGCTGCCCTCCCTCCCTCGCCTTCTCTCTCGCACAGACCAGACTCCCACCCGGGCAGCCAGCGGTACCCTCCCCTCGGATCCCGCCGGGCCATCCCGCCCTTCCGTCCGGGGCCAGGCCTGCCTCCCGGCCCCTTCAAGGCCCGCTGCCCGCAGCCCCGGGCCCCTCCCTGGCCTCCAGCTCCAGCGGGCCCTCTCCTTCTCTCGCCTGGCGCAGGAGGCGCAGCAGTTGCCGGGCGCGCTCCGGCCGCTGCTCGCGGAGCGTGGACTGGATCTCGCGGAGCCAGCGCACCCGGCGCTCATAGGGCGCGGGCCCGCACCCCGCCGCCGCCCCGGCCTCGGAGCCAGCCGCGGGTCCGCACCGCCGGCCCAGCCGCGCCCCCATGGCCGCGGCGCGGCTGGCGCTCAGTGGGCGGGAGGCCAGACGGCCTGAGCCACGCCCCCGGCCCCCGCCCTCGGCCCGCTCCGGCCCCGCCCCCGGCCCGAGATGCGCGGGTTGGGGAACGCTGGGTCCGAGGCTACGCATCCCTGCCGGGCCACAGCCTTGGAACGGAGGGCGTGAGGGGTCCTGCCGGCGCCCCAGAGTTCCCAAGCACTTGGTTTGGGGGATCTTGCTGGAAGACAGTCCCTCGCCTGTGCTAGACTGGGCTCTGGAGCTCTGTTCTGCCCGGGGCAGTCGCTGAGCGCAGCCAGGACGAGGTGGCGCTTGGCGCCTCTAAACCCTTCTGGCCCCAGCGACGACTGTGGAACAGTGGCTTTGGCGGTGTAAAGAGCACTGGACTTCGAGTCGGGGCGGGATGGATGAGGGTTCCACTGAACGTTTGCCAGCTTTAGGCAGTGCCAGGACACGCTTTCGGGAATCACCCCTGCAGAGGGCAATTGTAGTATCTGACCCGCACACCCCTGCAATGACAACTATTTACCGCCCCGCCCTGCTTGGTTTTGGTTGGGGACGGGCTGGGCAGGCCGGGTGGAGCCGGCCCCCTCTGGCCCAGGCCTCTGACCTCAGACCTGGGAGATAAACGGGATGAGGAATGCTGGTTAATGGTTAAGCCCAGCTCTGCTCTGGGCAGGCTGGCGGCAGGCAATCGCACCTGCTCCTGCCTTCGGGTTTTCCTGCCTGATAAGAGGTGGTGGGCAGTGTGAGAAGAGGGAGCCCTGGCTCCTCCAGGACCAGGCTTGAACTAGGGACCTGCCCATCTCAAGCAGTGTTCCCAGCTCTGGGCCTCTCACATTCCTTGGGTAGAAGGCATTTGGGGCACTAGGCTCCAGCCCCCAACTGCCACAGCAAGAAGGCCGTGTCCAGCCTGTGAGGTTAGTGCGTCTGGACACAGACGCAGAAAGGGCGGTGGGGAGGTGAGGGGAGACCATCCAAGGGCACGTGGTGACATGAGGGCAGAGCCAGGCTCCTTGCATTAGATGGAGCACTGCCTGCCCCAGGCTGTCTGGGGACTGGGCGTTGGGCTGTGCGGTCCCCCAGGGCTGGTCCCCCGGGGCTGAGCCCCTGAGACAGGCAGTGTCCTTACCCCCTGAGCACTCACTGAACCTCCTCCCCTAGTGTGACACCCCCACTAGGGGATGCCCCTTGGACACACCCCTTGGACCTATTCCCGGGGCCTCTCTATCCTGGGCTCTCCCCTGTCCTGGCAACTGCTGGCTGGACCCAGGGGCCTCCGCTCCCGCTTCCATGGCCAGCGCTGTCCTGGGGCCACCTTGGCAGCACAGGTTTCCTCTCTGGCAAACCTGCACGACTTCCCGGACTGCCTTCCCTCAGCGCTGTCTCTAAACTGACGTGGTGGTGACAGGGCCAGAGACTCAAGCAGCGGCCCCAGAGCCCCAGGGACCTCTCGGACGCCCTGTCCAGAGCTGGCAGCCTGGTAAGACACTCCCCTCCCTCCCCCACACACTCAGGGCCGAGCCAGAGCTGGGATGACTCCCAGATCCTGATCTTATCCTTCCAGAGGTTGAGCCAGGCCAGGATATTGTCACCTCAAAAGTGAGGAGACTGAGGTGGGGCTGTGGGGTGCGGGGTGAGGGGAAGGAGGGGCGAGCCTCGCCTCGCACCCTGAAGGGGCTAACCAGGCAGTGGCACGGGGGGAGTGCCCCGAGCTTCGAGTCCAGTGGAGCCTACCCCTCACTCCTGACCCCACCATCTGCGTCCCTGGCTGGGAGCTTCCTAGAGGACATTTTTCCAGGAAAGGAGGGAGGCTGGTCTAGAGGGGGCTCAGCCCTCTACTGGGGGTGCTTAAGCCCGGCTCCTGGGGACTCTTTCTGACCTAACCTGACTCGGGCAGGAGCCCCCAGAGCCGGAGCTGTGACATAGGAGTGGTGTCCGTCTCCCCCGCCAGTCCTCATGTGTCCTGGACTAAAGGCTGCTGGCCCCACTTCCCGGAGTCAACCTGGGTAGCAGAGCTGTGCTTGTGGCGACCCCACAGGGTCGGGGTCGTGACCTTGCCCTCTTGGCCCCCAGGGCTGATGTGGAGGTTCAGGGGCTTAGAACAGGCCTCGAGGGGCCGCCCTAGGCACTGGACAGCCGGTGAGGCAGAGGCTGGAAAACCAGAGAGTTGAGGGGAAATAGCCAGTCCCCAACCCTTCTTGGGGTAACCACAGGGTCAGTGGGGGGCTGCCACACCTTTGGCTTCCCAAGCCCTTGGCCGCCCATGTGGTAGCCCGGAGGGAATGACAGGAAACCAAGGTCCAGATGACTCAGCAGGTTGGGCGACGGGCTGTGGCTGTGACTGGAACTAGACCTTTGAGCTTCTTCTCTGTCCACATGGGGGATAGCCCAAGCCCGGGATTGAGGGTACTTCAGCAAGTAGCCAGATGACACTGGGTCTCTTGGTGGCCCCTGCCGAGAAGAGCGCAGGGTGGTTTGGGGCTCACGAGGAGGAAGGATGCTCTGCGGAGGCGCTGCCTCCAGGAGCCAGCTCTGCGGGGCCGGGATGTCAGGCTTCCGCCGGACCTGGGTCCCAATGCCCCGGATCTGCCACCTGGGGGGCGTGCAAACTCGGACAAGTAGGTAGCTGTGTCAGTTTTCTGTGGCCACAGAATAAATGACCACACACTGGGTGGCTGGTGACAACAGAAACTGGTTCTGTCAGAGTTCTGGAGGCCGGAAGATGGCTGAAAGCGAGGCGTCGGCAGGGCCGAGCTCTCTCCGAAGGCCCCAGGAAAGGATCCCTCTGCCCTTGTTTTGCTGGCAGCTCTGGACTTTCCTTGACTTGCCCCTGCACCCTCCGCCTCCACCATCCTGCCCTCAGTGTCTGTCTCTTTTCACCAGCCATCGAATTTGGAGCTGCACCGGAATCCAGTATGACGTCACCTTAAGTGATGGCATCCGCAGGGGCTCTATTTCTAAATAAAGTCACGTTCCAAGCCCCTGGGTGGACACCAATTAGGGCAGACAGTATTCAACCTCTGCCAGCCTCAGTTTCCTCATCTGTAAAATGGGGGAAATAAGAAGTCCACCCGGCAAAGGCGTTGCGGGGTCGGACAGAACGAGGAACGGGTCTGGCACACGGTGGTGCTGGGTCGCTGCGCCTGCTCTTTTTGCGAATGGCTCTCCCGTGGCTCTCTCCCGGACCCGCCTGGCCACCCGAAGCCCTCACCCCTCCGTTCAGTGGCGATCGCTGGGGACTGTGGGTGCTGCGCAGACTGAGGCAGACACACCAGGTCGCGCCGACAGCTACCCACAGAGGCGGGGAGCTTCTCCACGCAGCAGCGGCCCAGAAAGGCACCTGACCTGGAGATGGAGGAGGGCTTCTGTGGGAGGGGACACTGAGGCCGGGGTGTGAGAGAAGAGGGCTGGCGTGAAGTCCCAGCAGAACGGCGCACAGAGGAAGGGGTGGAGTCCCAGGTGCAGATACATTCTGGACCAAAGCAGGACTTTGAAGGGATTTCAGGGCGGGGGGAGGGGCATGTTCAGCTAAGCAGGCTGAGCTCTGGAGCTGCAGTAGGGAATGGGGGGGGCTGCCAGGTGGGAGGAAGTGGTCCGAGGGGAGATGGGGGGAAGCTCAGATATGGCCCTGAGTGGGTGGAGAGGTAGGGGCCACTGGATGGGAGGAGTGAGGAGGTAGGGGCGCTCTAGGCTAGACTCTGGCTAAAGTGGCTGGGGTGGGAGGGCCTGGGGAGGGTAGTGGCTTAGCTCAGGCTTGGGCATGTCCATCTGAGGCGTCTGGAATCCCTGGCGACAGGGAGTTTGATCAGGCCTCAGCTGGAGAGTAACCGAGTCCAGCTTGCAGAGGTGAGAGAGGCCTAAGAGTGCGGCAAACAGGGGGCCAACAACATAAGAAATATCCAAACCTACAAGAATTTTTATGACTTTATCTGCACCAAACTGATGACAATTGCCAGGAAGCAAGATCTGGGTGGACTTCGGCAGTTTGACCACTTCTTCTGTGCGCCAGAGTCAAGGGGGAAGACACTGGTGGTGTCTTCCCCCTTGGCGTGAAGTTCACTGGTGGTAGAGTAAGGAGGCAGGAGAAAGCCAAGCAGGGGTGGGGGTGTCTGGGGTGGGGGAAATCTCTGGGGCTGGGTAAAAAGTAAAACAAACAGACACATACTTCTTTGACACAGGTGGGCGTGGGACAGCCAACAGTGCACAGCAGCTGCGAGGGCTCCGTGGTCTCTACCCTCCTGGGACATTGTGCCCTGAGGGTCTGGGAAGAGGAAATCACCCAGACAGTCTAAAGGTGTGTTAGCCTAGCTGCAAAAAGACAGGGACAGACTCACTTAAGGTGAAGACTGGCCTCTGTCGAGAAAGATGCCGGCCTAGGACATGACCATCCGCCACAACTTGAGTCCAGCTAGAAAATTAATTTCAGGCCACTCTGTGTGGTTACTCTAGGTCTCCGAGTTTGTAAGTCCCCCACGCAGACCTGCCCTGAGCTTGTCAGGGTTAGTATGGGGCCGCTTTTCCGTCTCCCAGTGGGGACAGGGCTCCTGGAAGTCCAGGCAGGCTGAGCAGGTGTGCGTGGAAAACTCGGGGTCGGGGGAGGTAGTAGCTGGGGCAAGGTGACAAGTGGGCTTGGGCGTGGGACCCTCGAGGCTGTGGCTGCGAAGACGAGATTGCTCGGCTGTCAGGGAGTCCAGGCTGTGAGCAGGGGTGGGGTCCTGGGTGTGGAAGGGACCCAGACATCCTCCCCCAACCCCTGCAGGTCCCAGACACCGCAGGTAATGACAAGGTTATGTGATAAACACTACCTGTGCAGGGTCTGTGGGCAGCAAGAGCCAGGCAGCCAGGAGTGGGGCACTTTTGACCCCTAAGCTCTGAGCTGCTCGTCAGGCAGGGACGCAGGCGGCTGCAGGCGAGGGTGTCGGAGCCTTGGAGGTAGCGTGTACTTACTGTGCGCTGTCTCAGCGAATCTGCAGGTAGCGAAGCAGTGCCAGGGTCACACCGCTGGAGTGACACGGGACCTCGGTTCAGCAACCCGGGGACTTGAGTTCTGGCTAGGACAGAATTCAGAGCCGGGACTCTGTAAGAGGAAGTTTATTTTTAGAAAGTCACCGAGCTAGGAGAAGTGAGCCGTAGAAGAAGTGGGCTCAGGAAGCAAGTTACAGAGGGGAAGGAAGGGCCCTCAAGTTTAGGAGGGAGGGGAGGGGGGAAACATACCTGGGGGAGAAGGTGGGGGAAGGCGAGGGCCTGGCGCTGGGTCCTCCTCTCCAGGGCATCTATCTGGAGGCCTCCGGGGAGGATCCCAGCAGAACGCTCATCACCTTCTCAGCTGTGTCCTTTCAGGGCCGTGGTCTCTGCTCACGGGAGCCAGGGCAGGGCAGGGGGAGGTGGGCGGCTGTTTGTCACTGCAGCTCGTCCTCATGTCAGCCACGGCCTCACTTGTCTGGTTTTGCTGCTTTTCTGGGCCTGCAGCAAAAGCACAGCCGAGGCCTAGATGTTATCTCTAGGGCTCAATGCTGAAGGGAGCGGCCGTGGGAGGGCCTGCCTGGGAGTCGCCACAGTGGCCACTCTTCAGCTCCTTGTCCCTCCTCGGAGTGGGCCTGCTGTGTGACCAGTGACATGCCAGGGCAAGGGAGGGTCCAAACTGGATGACCAGCGATAGGAAAGGTCAGGGGATCTGACCCGAGTGACCAGCAATATGCCAGGGGAGGAAGGTTCCCCTGGGGGCACGGTCCCTGTTTCACTGCCAGGCACCCAGGGTTTGCCACCCTGCTGACCTGTGTCTGGCCCGTTGTCCCTGTCCTGCTCATGTCTGTCTGTGTAACTGCCTACCACCCATACCCCCAACGACTGTTTCAGTGACCCCTGCTCTCCAGCCAGGAAACCGAGGCAGGAAGAAGAGACGCTGGGCCATCCGCGGCTAAGGGAGAGTCTGAGCCCAGGCACCGCGGAGCCCATGCCCTTGGTCATGCTGCCGTCCCGCCTCTGAGTGTGGGACTTGGACTGGGTCCACCAAGTGCCAGACTGGCCCTGCCGCTGGCCGTTTCCAGGTGCTTACAAGCTGGTATCTCTGGAGGCGCACGTATCTGGCCAAGCTCCAGCCTCCGTCCTCACATCAAAAGTGGGTGCCGGATGGGTGAACGCTGGAAATGGCGCCAGCGGGTGGTGGCCAGGCTCTGGGGGCACGGGACTCTGACCCCGAGCTCACCTCCCTGCCACTACCGGACAACCCCACCTTTCCCCAGGCTGGAGTCTTTCTTCATCCCTTCCCGTGGCCTGCAGGACTCTGGCAGGCGGTGGCCGAGCTGCCACAGGGTGGCCCCTACTTCTCTGTCCTGTGGCCTGAGGCGGTGGCGGGCAGGCCGTCTGAAGCAGGCCGACCCGCAACAGCTGCAGAAAACGTCGGAAGGAGGCAAACTGGAGCCTGGCGCCGGGGAGAACGTGCCCAGCACCCACCCAGCCTCACTGTTTCTAGGGACAGCGCGCTCCCCGCCGGGGCAGGAGTGAGAGGGGCAAGGAAGTGCGGGAGATGGGAGGTCCGAGACTAAGCCCTCGGGATTCTGTGGTCCTGCAGTTAAGATGCTGTGATGCTTGGACTCGCAGACACTTTGTTCAGCCAGTCTTCCAAATGCCTCCTTGGTGCAGATGCCAGGAGACACAGAATGTGCTGGGCGATGCCAATCTCCTGGCTCCCAGCAAGCTCTGAACCCTGTCCCAGCGGCTCTCGGGGCTGACGCAGGCCCTGCTTGCGTCTTGATCAGACCTGCCTGTCTGGCCCACTCCCTGTTGAGCTCATGATTGCGTTTTGGAAGATCATGCCTCTACCAGCTGGGGTCCACCAGGGGCAGGAGGTCCACCTGGCACTTCCTGGAACTCGGGCACAGCCACTCCCAGGACCTGGCTGGCAGCAGGGTGCGGCAGGACAGAGGCCGCAGGAGGAAGTAGACTCGGGGCCTTCCCCCTGTCATGGGTCACTGCCCTGCTTTAAGCAAATGCCTTGCCCTCTTGGGCCACAGTTTCCTTGTGCTGGGAGCACCCTTCTTCCTCCCCTAGTTCCTGGTTTCCCCAGGCACAGAGGGGAGGCAGATCCAAGCCCGCAGAACAGGGACAGCCTTGGAGGCCACTGTGGGCCCATTTCTCGGAGCAGGGGATGGGCCAGGTGCCCACTGAGCCTCCTGTGCGGCCAAGGCCCCCGAGGCACTCTAGGTTGGTTGCTGGTGCCAGCCAAGCAGGGGTGATTAGAAGGTGAAAGGCACCCGGATAGTGGGGTGGCGTCCCCCATGCGGCCTGGACAGCTGCCCCTGGCTGGAGGCCAGCTCGGCCCAGGAAAGATCTTCAAAGAACAAGGACGCAGAGAGCCCAGCTCTGCCAGTGGCTAGTCCTCAGCCAACACCCCCATCAGCACTCCCTCTTTTCCACAGCCCCTGCCCGCCGCAGGGCCGCTGAGGGGCTAATGGTCACCCACCAGTGTCTTAATGAGTGAGCTGGGGTTAATGGGTTATCCAGCCCCGTGACACATTCACCAGCCTCCTTGGGCTCCAGGCGCCTTCGAGGTCTGCGCTCAGCCACCTCCCCTTCCAGCCCGACACCTCCGGGCTCGGGAAGGGCCCACGGAGGTCGGGAGCCGCCCTCGCGCTCTCACCGCTCCCGGAGGCACGCCCACGCCTGGCCTCTGGGCTCCAGTCGCTCTCGCCACCTGTGGTCCCCAGGCCCACCCCAGCTCGGCTGGGTCCCCCACCCCTCGAGCTCTGCCTCCCCCTCGGGGCCCTGGGGTCTCCCTCCTTCTTGGCTGACCATACTAGTCCATCCACAGGCTGGCTGGGGGCTCCTCAAGGGAAGAGTCTAGATGGGCCAGGATTAGATGAATGGAGGAATGGATGAAGAATGAATGAATTTAAGACAGGGCTGCGCTAGTGGTGGTCATTCTGGCCAGCAGCAGGCCACGCATGGACCTCAGAAGCATAGGCAGCCTTGGGCCAGCCGGCCCTGTGGGGGCCCCGCCCCATGTCGGTGGGTGAGCAGCAGCCGGTGGGGGGATGAATGGTGGCCCATCTGTCCCGCCCCCCCCCCCACTGCCTCGTGGCCGCCATCAGTCTGCCTGCTGTGGACCCCAGAAACCTGGAAGTTATGGGAAGGTTCCCCTGGGTCACATGAGTCTCTTTAGTCCAAGTGACCAGGGTCCTTGGAGAGATAGCCTCTAGACACTCCACCTGCAGCCCCGAGGGTCAGGGAGAGGGCGCGCTTAGAGGTGCAGCCCCTCCCCCGAAGCTGTAGTGAGAAGCTCAGGCTCCTCAGCCTTTTACTCCCAGCCCCGCTGGTGTGGGCGTCTGGCTGTGCCTGATGCCATGTGACCCCTCTCTGGATGTCCTGCATTGGGGAGGAGCTCACCTCCTCCCAGGAAACCCTTGGTCTGACCTGCCTCTGCTGGAAACCCAAACTCACTCAGCCCCAAAGCTCAGGTCTGTCATTCAGGGTTTGGGACTCTGCTGGGCTCAGAGAGGCCACCAGCTGTCCCAGGTCACACAGCCACAGGGACAGGACCAGGAGCCAGCCCTCTTCCCACCTGGACAGGTTCCTGTGCCTTTAAAGCCTTCCCCCACCCCAGGCCAGGACGGGGAGGAGGGGAGGAGTTGGGCCACAGCAGGGCCCTGGGACTCAGTCCGGTGCTGGAGTGCAGCGGGAGGACCAGCCCTGGAGCCAGGTGAGCTGTGGTGGAATGGGCTCTGGCTGTCCCCTGGTGCTGTGCTGCCCCAAAGCATAGCTCACCCTCTCTGAGCTGCTGGACATTGAAGGTGGGGGGAGCTTGAGCTTGGGGCCTCCCAGGAGTATCTGGAGGTCTAGGTTGCAGCCCTCTCTGTCACGTGCTGGCTGTGCCCTGGAGCAGCTCCTCTTCTCCTCCCGGCTGCAGTTCACGCTTGTGCGCGATGGGAGTGGGCTGCCCTTAGGGGGCAGGGGCAGGGCTCCTGCGGACTGATTGGCAGAGGGGTCCACGGGTCAGGTCGGCTGTTTACCTGACAGGGTCAGGCTGGGAGCCTATTGCTTGTCTGGTGAGCGGGGCTGAGACTGCCTGTCCAGGCTTTCTGGCCCACTCTGCCACAGGTGTGGGTGGAGGAGGATGGGTGGAGCCACCTGACTTCCCCAAAGCCTTTGAAGAAGGCTTTGAAGAAGCCACAGCACCCAGGAAGTAGACTTCTCGGCACTCAGAGGGAGGAGTGCATCATGGAGAAACTGAGGCCCGGAAGGATCTGGCGGCGGGGGGTGAGGAAGTCCCTGGGAGGAGGGGTTAGGTGACGTGTCCTCGGGCTGTGCTTGCCCCTCTGGGCTGTGGTTTGTGGCCACGGCGGGAGTGATGCAAGGTGGCTTGTGCCAGGGTCACCACTTCCTAGCCACCTCAGGCGTATTTCAGCCAGTTTCTGGCAGGTAGTGATTGTCGACTCTTGGGGAAGTTCCCCTCATCGGATTCTCAGCCTTATTCCACCAGGGTGGGCAGCAGGTGAAAGCGACCCCAACTCTGATAAGCTTCCTGTCCTGGGCTGTGGGCAGGGGTCAGGAAGCCGCTGAGAGCCGGGTCCTCTCTTGTTCCCGAGGTAGGTGGCTCCCGGCTGCCGGCTGGCTGTGGTGGGGCAACAAGGTGGGTCCCGGGTCCGGGTCTGGGCTCTGGGGGCCATCTGACCATGGCCAGGTTACATCCACCTAAGCCTCTGTTTCCTGTTGACGAATGGGTTTGGTGCTGTGGCCTAATTCCAACCCTGTGGCTCTGGGGTTCGGAAGACATAGCCACCATTAGTCAGGGCTGGAGGATTAACAGAGAAACTCCAAGCTGGCTGCTCCGTCTTCCTCTTCCTCGTGCTCCTGTCTGCTGTGTCCTGGGAACGCGCTTGGCTCAGCCTAGATTCAGCTTGGGGCGGTGGCTGTAGGGGGGCTGCTCGTGGCAGATTTAGTTTCTTTGGGTGAGTGAGACTTGCACATCCCTGGGGATGGGGAGCTCACCACTTTTTGTGCCTAGGATGGGAGGCAAAGGGTCTGGAGGAGACCTGCCTCCCGGTCCCTGAGGCCTCACCTGGGATAACACGGTTTCCCCAGACCCACTGCCCCCCAGGCCCCACTCTGTATGTGGGGGAGGCGGACCAGGACAGCATGTGACGTACTGGACGTGTGAGAAAGGGCCTTCTGTGTTCCGTTACACTTCTGTTAGCAGAGCCTGTGATGAGCCGCCTTCCCTCTCGTCCCTCCCCCCTCGCACCTGCAGCTGCTGACGGTCGCAGAGGACTGTGTCTCCTGGCGGGCAGCTCTCTGTGCCCAGGGTTTCCTTGTTGGGGTTACCTGTGGGGGCTGGGCCATCCTCTGCCCACTCAGACGTTCTTGTTTTCCTCCTGCTGCTGCTGCTGCTGCTGCTGTTGTGCCGTGCCACCCCAGGCAGGGAGAAAACTGCTGAGCCGGCTCAGGGTAGGGGCAGAACCCTGTGGTCTCCGCTGCAGACCTGGCCCAGCTGGCTGCCCTGCAATGCAGCCGCTCGAGCAGGGCCAAATCCCCTGCATTCCTGGCTGGTGTCCAGCCTTTGGGGATAGGTCCCAGGTCTTTTCCCAGTCCCTCTGGTCTGCGTCGGGGTGGTGGCCAGGCAAACCATTCAGCTCTAGCATCTCTGGCCTGCTCAAGGGCATCAGGTGACAGAACAAGGTCTGTTTTGGCTGCATGGTCCAGGGCAAGTGACACTATCTGCTCAGCCACGTTATCTCCTGCCTATCCAGTGGTGCAGCCTTGCAGGGTGGCTGCGGATTCAGTGTGAGAGACGGGGCTCTGGGGGATGCCAAGCAGCTCAGACACAAGTGGCCAGGGAGCTGGGTGGGGGCCATGACTCAGGAAGTGGCTGATGCTTGTCCTTGCCCTTAGCAGATAACTGCACGGGGGAGTACGGAGTAGTGTCCAAGGTTCTCCGGGCCGGGCCAGAGCCGACACTGACTGAGGACCTCCTTGGCGGGCTGGTCAGGGAGGCTCAGCAGCTTGGGGGCAGGCGTGAGGTGGCCAGGCCTGCACTGCTGGGCTGTGTGACTTCGGACCAGCTCCGGCCCTCCACGGGGAGCTGCCTTTCTGGGCTGTTCGGGTGTTTCCTTGAGCCCGAGGCAGCAGTATTGCTGGGTAGGCGGTGGAACTGGTTCTGACCCGAGGCCCCAGGCTGTGTTTTCAAGAGGATCCCTCGGCATCGGGCTGAGGGTTGTGGGTTGTGGCGAGGCCTCCCCGGTCTGGTGCGGGTGGCGCTCCTGCTGTGCTGCCTGGGGAACCGTCTCGGGACGCTGTGCCTGACCCTCACACCTTGCACAGGGACAGGGCTCCCTGCAGAGGCTCTTGGTCGAAGGGTCTGAGTCCTGGAGAGGGAGCCCCTGCCTCTGTCACCACACCTGTCCTTCCCCGCCGGGTTACACCCTTACCTGCTGCCACCACCATGGGGACTCCGAGAGGCACTGCTCTCACGTCACAGCACCTTCCAGGTCGTTGTGAACTTTAGTCACCTGGTGACGGGCCAAGTCACCGTGCCTCCTTGCTGGCTATATGTCAGCCTTTGACCTTCCTCCCTGCCAGGCCGGACCTCCTTGAGAGGACCGCCTGCCCTACCCTACTCAAATGCTTCAGCCGCCCACGGGGGTGCAGGGGGCCCCCTGGCTGGCCCCTAGACCCCTTCAGGGACTAGGTGAGCGTGTGAATTCCTCCAGTCCCCACCCTCCCCCACCCCGCCTCTGCTCCTCCTTGGAGAAGCCCATCCACAGACCTCAGTCCCAGCTCCAAGGCCCCCCTGAACCGCTCTGCAGGGGCTGGGGGCGTGGCTCCGGCTCCTGAGGTCCCTCAGGCCTCCCAGCCCAGCCGCCTCCCCTGGGAGTGGGAAGGCAGCCTCCATGTGGCTGAGACTTTCCCAGGCAGATAAAGCTGCCTCCTTCTCCCCTGCTGTGCCCCAACCCAGAGCTGGCCGCGGAGGAGCAGGAGCTTTTCTGGGCCCCAGATCCCCCTGGGCCTCAGGTAAGCCCCCCGGGGTTGTGAGGAGCTGGGCCGGGGTTTGAGGCCAGGCGCTGTGCCCGATCCACTCTCTGGCCTTGGTTTCCCCTCCTGGTACTGACACGTGGGAACCAGGCCTCTGGGCTTGGACATTGTTTATGGAGTCTTCGAGAAAAACATGGGGCGGGGAGTGCAAGCCCGGGTCTCCCAGCAGGGTGTCTTCCGAAAGGCAGGATTTGTCTGCCTGTGGGGGGCTGAGCCAGCCTCCCTGCTGCCCGCCCAGGGAGGAGGGGACGCGGGTCAGCGCTGCTCACACCCTCCCCGCACAGCCTGGAAGTCTAAGCCGCTCTGGGTACCCCTGCCCCTTGGGGAGCCCACTTGGGTTCTTGGGTGGGTGGATGGAGTGTGTGGAGAGGGGAGGCTGGAGTGTGGACCTAGGAAGTCATGGCTTGCTCAACCCAGGGGCCTGAGGAGAGAGAGGAAGGCCCTGAGGGGCGTCTGAGTCGATGGCTCCAATCCCTGGAGAAAGGAGACCAAGCCCCCAAGGTACCCAGCATGGCCTGCGCCATGGGCTCCTGGAGGGCTCCTGTCCCACCCAGTCCTGCCCCACCGCACAGGACGGGCAAGTCCTGTGTCCCCAACAGACGCTGCCTGCTGCCAGTTAGCTCCTCAGGTCCCTCAGACCTGCCAGCACAGCTGTCTCTACCAGGAGGCCCCCCGCCGGGACCCAGGGTGTGTCCCGGGGGCTGCCAGGTCTCGCAGAGGCTGAGGGCGGAGCATACGGGCTGTCCCTGGGGACACCGGCAAGGGGCAGGGCCTGCTTGGCACTTTGGAGAGAGCCCTGTGCCAGCTTCTCGGAGGACCGAAGACCAGGAGATGCCGGCGGGGGTGGGGGCGGCAGTGCAGTGTCCGGCCAGAAACCATGTGCCCAGATTCTGTCAAGGTGGAGCCGAGGGGCTGGCGGGAATCCTGCTGTGGGTGTGGGGTGGTAAGCAGCCTGCTGCGTGACCGCCCCCTGAGCCAGGGGAGGAGAAAGCCCTCCCATACTGGTGTCTGGATGCCCCCCACGTGGGGTCGGGGCTCCATTTCTAAACTGTCTCTGGGTCACCACCTCTGGCCCTGGCGTTAGGACCCTCAGAATAAGGACAGAGTGAGCCAGACGGGTGCCAGCCCGGGGCTCACCGACAGACACCCGCCCTTCGGAGGGACCTGCTTCTGGGGGAGGGAGACCCAGTACCTCTGACACCTTCCCCCTCCTTCCCTGTTGGGGTCATGCCCCTCACCTGCTGCCCCTACCAACCAGGGGGACCTCAAGGGTAACTGCTGTCATTCTCAGCACAGCCTGCAAGGAAGTCAACAGGGGAAACATTGAGGAAGAGGCTGAGCAGCTTCTCAGCTGCCCCCTACAGGCCTCCAAGTGGCCCCCCCCGCCCCCCACCCCCGCCCAGCATAGCCCAGCGTGGCCAGCACTGACCTAGCTTTTCACACTTTCCCGCCCACTTAATCTTCATGGCACCCAAGTGGAAGGCCTCTGTCCTTCCTGTGGGACAGATCGGGACAGATCGTCGGTGTTGCCCAAGGCCCCACAGCAGCAGGGGGCAAGTCCAGGCTCAGAGGGAGCAGGCGGCACCCACCCCCCCAGCCCCAGCCAGGCTTCACCACGTGGTCACATGACACACTCACCGCCCGACGGGCCTTGTACAGGAATGCCCCCGCCGCTCCCTACCTTGCTTTGTGCAAACCCCCTCGCTGCCTTGCTTAGCAGAAGGAGTGCTGGGAGAATTCATGCCAATGTGTAAGCTGCTCACAGCCTCCTCTTTGACTTCAGAGCTCCTCTGGAGGCAGAGAAGCCTTGCAGAGCCCCCTGGGGAGGGCTGGGGCACCTCTCCAGAGCAGGTTCTGTGACGCAGCCTCCTGCAGACGGGGTGCAGGTGGGGAGAGACCTCCCCCATCCCCCCCGGGTTATTCCACCCGCTGCTTTAGCCAAGCTCTCCCAGCTTTTGCGGCCACCTCCCCAGGCAAGGCTCGGGGCTTCCATCTGTTGAGGACGGCATC